TTCACGAAAGATAGAGATAGAAAAAGATAGAGAGATGTAAATAGAACATAAGACTAGTAGGGATTAAAGAGGTTTATTGTGCAACTTGAACGAAAAGTAAGAAATTATGTAGTGACAGCAAGAAGAAAGATAATGATTCGCGAGGAGATATAAAAAATTTTCTAATAAACTGAAAAGAAAATTATTAAAACTTTTAAAGTCGAGTAATTATGTTATTTTAAATATTTAAGCAGTTGAACCCAATTAATTTCAGCTTAATTTTTTCATCGAAATAAATTCCATTTTTCATTCTTGGTATTTGTTGTGTTCAATTCAAATAAAAAAAAACAAATAACTCTACAGTAAAATATAAAATTTCGAATACGAAGAATGAATTATTATTTGACAATTGAAGAATACATTTTTCCAAGTAGATTAATCATGATAGTATGGGCGAAACGACCGAGTATATTATTTTCTCAAGTTCCTGTTACATTCATAAGACTTGAGATTTTGTCTTTATTCCCGCAGATTTCCTCCAGACAACTTTGCAGTAAGGAAAAGAGAAAAAAATAAAAAATATAGGATATGAAGCAATACTTTTCTTAAATTACACTTTTTTTTGTATCTCTTGTTTCGTGTGAATTAGAGTATGGTGCTGTTGTTTTCTTTCACAACTATTATGCCTAAGGTTATCTAAAAATTTGAGTAGGAAACGATGCTGTACCGGAAGAGGCCTCGATTTGTATGGGCACAGTCTGATATGAACCTGAGGTTATAGGTTGTGCAGTGCTTAGGAAAGGGAAAACCATTTCCTTCAGGGAATTTAAAAATGAAAATAAAATGTAAACATGTTGACACAAAAAGACCAGAAAGTGGACAATATACATAGGCGTTCAAAATTCGATGACCCTGACATCGTTATCCTTTGTACTCTTTGCGTGTATGTTGGCATAATAGCCCTACTTTTTTCTGATTAAATTTCCTCCATTACATTTTCATTTTAACGCCACTCCAAAAAATTTTGATGGTAAATTAAATAAATAAATCATTTCGTTTTTTTTAAATTATTTTCAACTACTGAATTTCATTTTCTTAATTATTCCATCACAACTAATTATATCTTTTTATCATTTTCCATAATACTTAATTACCCTAAAACTGATGTTATGATACAATTAACGAGAACAAACCATATTATTTATATGCTCATTTACCTACATTTTTTTTAAATTTCGTTTATCTAAATTTATTTTTAAAATATTTTTTGGAGGGCTATACTTGGACTTTCCTTAAAGTTTAAATACAATTTCATAATTATATTCATGGAATGATTTTTATTAGTATAAATAGAAAGAGCATATATAACATTGATTAAAAATACACAGAGTCCTAATCAAGACAAGTGATTTTTTTATGTTTCTTATGATAAGAGAACAAGCATTTCAAGTAAATGAGCGACTAAAGAGAAGTTTTTTGATGTAAACATTATTAACATCATTAATGATTTAATCTTAACTACCTCTATCTTAGATCTTACTCTACTTCGATTAAAATATTTAAATGAAATAAAATAATCATCGTTGTGTTTTAATCTATATACATTTGTTTCTAAACTTTAAATATGATCATTAATCTAATGATTTTCGTAATGTTTTATATATTATTTGACGAATTCGAATTCACAAGAATCCCTATAATATGTTTTGATTCACTGCATAGACTCAACGGGTACCTGCTTAAAAGCTCTTATATTTTGAAAGAAGGATCATTTCATAAATACTCTTTTTTTTCCTGCCTTTTAGACATGATATTATGCTTATTCTCAACAAGTTACTCATATATATGAGGAATGAAGAAAATTATCACATCAGATCCTAATTAGGCAGCAAACAATTACTCGGAGGTAAATAATTTATTTATCAGAAAAAAGTACTCCTCAAAGAATTAATCGAAATAATTTTTAACTACGTTTGATGATAATCATTTCAGCTTTTTCAAAATCATTAGCTTACAATTCAGCAGTGGACAATATAAAAATATTCAGACGTAGTTTTAATTTTTAATTAACGTTGTAAATTGTATTGTTGAAAATTCGTGAATAAAAAGATAAATTTTTTTTATTACAACTCTTAAAAGCTTTCAATTGTAATAATGAACATCTCATCGAAATTTTATTTTCCATCAAGATTTTACAACCCCTTTAAACCAGCTTTCAAATAAAAAACCGCATTGAATTGGCTAAGCAGTTTAGAAACTATGATTCGACAAATAGACGAAAACTTCAAACTTATAACGATCCTGTTATTGCATCAACAATTTCGAATAACAAAAATCATTTTAAAACTTTTACTAAATATGATGCTAAAGAAAATTCTTTTTTTCATCAAGTTATATCGTCTACATCACACTGATGGAAAAATAAACTTAACTAATTGATTTTTAAGTGAAAAATAAAACATGATGATTTGTGTGAAGGAATAAAAATGGTAAAATACTTTCAGTATTAATGATACATTTAAGTTTTAAAGTTCAATAGGTATGAAATCATATCATAACCGAAAGGGCTTTACAATTTTTTTTAAATTAAATGTTCGATGTTAATTTTAAGCTAATTTCTACGGATAATAATAGTACTATTATTTGCTGCGGGTTTTTTTTGTCGTTAATACAGTTTAAGTTACGAAATAATATTGTCACATTCCCCAAATATTGATATTGGAGTAATACAATAACTACTGTTATTTAATGAAAAAAAAAATATTACTTTTTTTAACTATAGCTGGTTCCACCATGTCATATTTGTCGAATTTTATACAGCTGGATTTGTTTATTATCTTCCATATTTTTTACATTTTACATTCATATAATTTTATGTTTTTATGTCTTTCTTATTAATGATATTCTGAATGTCGTAACTCTTTCAATCAATTTTACAGTCGGTGTATTAATTCCATACAAAGGCCGTAATAGAATCGAAAGACCATACTCCTAAGCTTTGATTGAGAATTTTTTTATTTATACTCCTCGACCCATAAAATTTTCCACCAATTTCAAACTCATTTGTAAAATTAATTTTACTTAAATTGATAAATGCGAACAAGGTAAAAGCTTTTTTTCTAAGAAACATTTCACAAAGTTAATTTTGATTCTTTTATTGAAAAAAATTGCTCTATCCAATAAAAAATGGTTAGTTACTTATTGGAATAATTAAATATAAAAGTAATTAAACTATCGATGATTTTTAATAAATAGCATAAGATAAAAAATTGAAGTTTCTGTTGTTACCTCAAAAAGATTGCATATAAAAAAACAAATGCAATTATGAAAAATAGCTGCATTGACCTATGATATTTACAGAATTGTAATAAAAGCAGACGATATAGAATAAATAACATTATTTTAAATCGCCTTTCAATCAATGGATTGATTTTCAATTACTCCTTCAGCATGACAAAGTAAACAAAAATAATTTATATTTACACTGTTCCTTCTAAATAGTTTTTTTTCTCATTTGAATATCTGTGGTTTGCATAAGAGAAAAAATTTTCTGTTATTACGTAAAAAAAATTTTGTTTTCGAATCACCTTTGATGCTACACTTTTATTTAAATTTCAATATGAAATTTTGTTTTATCGGTTATCAGTAATACCATCGTCTGGTCAGTCTCACGAACAAGAGAATTATGTGCAGCGTGACATAAAATTAAAGTGAAGTTTCACTTATGCACAATTACTTTATTTTGTATATTGATTCGAAAATAATAAATTAATTTAGAGACAAAATGGTAAACTTTAACTCTTTTTAGTGTAGCACTTTAGGCAGTCATCCCGCAAGAGTGATTACTTAAAATTTTTTTTAAACCGCATTATTTTTATAAAATAACAAAAAATTAACATTTCCTTCCTCTGAACAAAAAAGATCTGATGTCTAGAAATGATCATATTTGCAATTAAAGATTGCAATTCTACTAAGCAGGCTAATAGTAGAAGGTAACTCATTATAGCTGTTCAATACACGCAGAGAAATGTATAGTAAAAATTACTCTAAATTTTATGGTAATTTGGTGATACTGCAGGGTGACGGTAAAAATTACTGTGCAGTTTAGTTAATTCAACAATGTGCACAGTAATTATTACAATGTGTATAGTAATTTTTACCGTCACCCTGCAGTGTCACCAAATTACCATAAAATTTAGAGTAATTTTTACTATACATTTCTCTGCGTGTAAATATTCCAAAACGGAATTTACGATTATATTTTTAAAAAATCCGAAAATCAATGAATATGTAATTAATGCGTCAGTGAAATTTCATATAATTTTGACATTCAGTTATTAGAGAAACATTCTTTAAAGGATGAAATTTTAAGACTCCTAATGTAATGTGTTTCTTCTTTGCAAGAAAAGTTAGTGGACTGAATACGTACAGATGTTCCAAGTGTGTAATAACGAGTGTTCACTCAATTAGTTCTTGCTAATACTGATGTCTAATGTCAACTTAAATAGTTATATCATTTCTCTATTTTTGAAATAATTTAAAAATATTGGAATTTTATTTTTCGAACGAATTGCCCATTAATCATGGTGATCGATTAAAGTAATTTTCGTATAATACCACACGTTAAATAAATATTTTTACAAAATTTTGTGAAAATACCACACCAAATTTAGCATCAATCAATAGCCATAGATGACTTAAAAATACTCAAAGCTGAAAAGAGTGAAAAATTATATTTTCTTCTATTCATGTTTATTTTGAGACTATTGTATAGAAACTGAATACAGTCTTTGATACATATTTAGTCCGCACACAAACTATATAACTTAGGTGAATGTGAAAATGCTTTGCAGGTGTGAAAATACATTGAAGATACCGGTTTCTTCCTAAGCTTCATTGTGCTTTTCATCATTTCGTTCTATTAGAAACAGAAATAATATTTTCGTAAATGTGGTGATAATTAAATATAGTTTATTAAAATAATAACTTTTAATATTTTTATTTATTTCTTAATTTTGCAGACGAATTCAAAAACAACCAAAACAGATTTGTCGTTTTGTTTCTGATCATCTGAGTGCAGAATGTACACAATGGAACGGCACTTGGTTTGATTCAAATGATCCACATATATTTAGTGGAGAGTATAGTAAACTACTTCCAGAGTGGACTTGGAACAATTTTACGAACTTTACAAATTCATCTTATACAGGTAAATAGAATTAGTTTATAATTATTTGCTGAGCGAAATTGATTTAGAGATAAATTTGACGTAATTAAGTGCAGAGCAAAATAAAATTATGTAATTGTATATTTGATAGCAATTTAATTTTTCTATTAACATGTTTATTTATTTGAGTATTTATACAAGACAGACAAGTTGATCAAACATTTAAGTAGTTTTGTGAGTTTTTACTTCAATTTAACTACGTTAAGTCAGTTTAATAATATTAAATTGGATTGTATAAAAATACTATCTCTTATGGAGACAGATAAACATACTATCATATACAATTATAATTAGCTTTATATTTATTATATGTTAAAATTCTATTTTAATAATTACTTGACGAAATTTATTTCAAGAAGACGAGTCAGTTGAATATACTCCACCTTTCGAACTCTGGCAGACAATTCTAATAGCATTATGTCTGGCTGCGTGTATAGTTTTAACAATTGGAGGTAACATTCTCGTACTATTGGCATTCATCGTCGACAGAACAATAAGACAACCGAGTAATTACTTCATCGCATCTTTAGCTGCTACTGACATGTTGATTGGTAAAGAAATTCAATATTAATTCTTAGGCTTTGATTAACATAAACAAAATTCTCCAGGCACTGTTTCCATGCCATTCTACACTGTGTACGTGCTAATGGGTTCATGGGATCTGGGTCCTCTACTATGTGATTTATGGCTTTCGGTGGATTATACTGTCTGCCTAGTATCTCAATATACTGTATTATTGATCACCATCGATCGATTTTGTTCAGTCAAAATAGCCGCCAAGTATCGAAGCTGGCGAACCAAAAACCGGGTCATTTGGATGGTCACTATCACTTGGATCATTCCTGCACTTTTGTTTTTTATTAGTATTTTTGGATGGGAACATTTTGTTGGCTATCGAAATCTTAAACCGAATGAATGCGCTGTTCAATTCCTAAAAGATCCAGTTTTTAACACTGCCCTGATTATTACGTACTATTGGACAACACTTGTGGTTCTTTTTATTCTTTATGGTGGAATATATAAAACAGCCTATGATATGCAAAAGAAAAGTGAAGCAAAGCAAAGAAAAATGCAATCAATGGTAGCTCTTAGTGCTGGTGCCATGTCTGGAATGGCTGGTAGAGCAGCAGGAATTGGAATCACGAAGCCGACGAATACAATGCTTTGTCAAGATAAACTAAAAGGTCCTAGTGATGGAACATCGACTACAAGTATTGATGGTACTGCTCCAGCCCCAACTGATTACACTAAAGAAGAAAATGAAAATACATCTGCTAGAAAATCATCCACGCAACATAATCAGAGTCAAAATACTGCGAATAAACTCAAGTCTGGAATGAGTTCCTCTGAAGTAGAAAAATCTGAACGATCAAGTAGCCCGGCGTTTGATTCTGATGAAGACAGCGCTGCTGCTTCAACATCAACCAATCAGCAATCAACTTTACCTAGAAAACGTTCATCTATTGCTGGAATTATGATGCAAACTGGTGCATTACATGTATTTGCTACCAATGGCAGATTAAATGGTATTGTTCCGGTGAACGTAGAAATGAATCCAATGGTAAAAAAATACTCTCCTACCACACCAGAAGCGAAAACTCAAACACTGCCGAAGATTCAAGAACACAGTCTAGTTGATGGTGAAAATACATCTGAACATGTGGTAGAGCATGAAAAAACTAGCAGTACTTTGACACCTGAACCATCTTTAAAATATAATGAAATTGATTCAACTCAAACTATTAAACCCGTTAATGAAACGCCACCTCCAGAAATAAAAAATAAAAGCTCATCTTCTGGAGGACAACAGAGCATAATTCCTCCACCCACACAATTTCAGGGTAGTTTACCAGCATCGGAAAGCACCTCAACATCTTCTTCAATTGATAAAACCAAGTCTTTATTAGGTCAAGGACAAGGCTCTTATGACATCATGAGTGGATTGGACGGCGCTGATCTAAGGTACATGGATGAAAGTTCAATAATAGTACCAAGTCCTTCCTATGAAAGTCCACCATCTTCTTTCTCCCTTAGTCTTGTGAATCCTCTTTCAACGGCTCCATCGTCTCCTGTTCTTGGACATACTGGAACATCAGCAGCCAACACTAGTCTACTGCAAGCTGCTCTGATTAGAGCAACGGCTCAACAAAGCGGAACTATTCAACCTCCTGTACATTGCCCTCAAGTTTCGCACGCTTCATGTCAAACTCAACCACCAAGAGTTTTTGTAACGCATCAAATTAATGCTTCATCACAAACCTCACCAACGGTTAGTAAAGTCAACACTGAGGTTTCCGTCAAGGTTGAAAATACCAAACGTCAACCAATAACTACTGTAGTCAATACGCCTATTGAGTCATCCAATAGCACAACGACTGATCATAAGGTTAATAATCCACCACAAATATCTTTATCTAGCAGTGCGGTTCCAGTAGCTTTATCAACAGGTTCTAATAGAGAATCAAAAAGACAATCAAAAAAAGACAATGATCAGGAGGATGGTACAACTGGATCTAGAAAAGATTTTGTAAAGTCAATAGGTCGACGTTTAAAAGCAAAAACTCAAAAAAAAGATTTCACTTTTGGTAGGCAAAAATCGAGAACAGAAAATCGTGCAAGAAAAGCTTTTAGAACAATTTCATTTATTTTAGGTGCTTTCGTTGCATGCTGGACCCCTTATCATGTAATGGCATTAGTTGAGGGTTTTTGTTCAAATCGGCCATGTACTAATGAACACTTATACATGTTCTCCTACTTTCTTTGTTATGCAAATAGTCCAATGAATCCTTTTTGTTATGCGCTTGCTAACCAACAGTTTAAAAAGACATTTACAAGAATATTGAAAGGCGATTTTCATATGACGTAAAACATTAATATAAATCCTAGAATAATTGCCGTAAATAAACTGAAATACTGAGTATGGTGTATGGACAATAATTTAGTTGACATGTTTTTATGGTAATAGGACTATATATACATAAATATATATATATACATAATAATTGAGAGAATGACTACTGGAATAATATGTTCGATGATCATTGTGTAAATATAATTTAATTAGTAATAGTAAATATCTTTTTGAAAGTTAATCGAAGGTGTATATAATGTACATGTATGTGTGAATAACTGGATATTGTTTTCAAAGCAACACAAATGCTGTGAGATATTTTTGTGGTTAATAATAACCGTGCCACGCTAATAATATCGATAAAAAATATAATTACAACAATAATAATAATAAAAATCATAACAATAATTCTACAATTGTATATCTACGCACATCTGTAATTAATTAATATAATCCATCGACGCTAAAATACTGCTTGACTATTTAGTATTCTCATATTACCGAAAGAACATATAATCATAAAAATCAATTATTAAAATTTCTAGTTATAAATTCAAACAGTTTTTGCGATAAATACGCTGCGAAAGACGTAAAGTGAAAAAATAATAGTGAACAATTTTTTTTGAAGGAAGATATTCAATACTCAAGTTTTACATGACAATGCAAAAAATAAAAGAAATTTTTACCTAAGTTTTTTCTTTGACGCTGTCCCAGATTTGAAGATTCAGTGGATCATAAAAAGATCTAGATGCACTGCCAAAAGTAGCCTACTGTAATAAAGGCCTTTTTTTAACAAAAAAAAAAAAATAAATAAATTCTTAGAATCTGCAACAGTGTCGAGGGGACATTTGCATATAGGTAGATAAAAAACTAGAAAAAATAGAATATTACGATTATGTGAGGTATAGTAAAGAATGTAGGTGACAACGGTAGAATAAATGTAGAACTCAGGTGGAAAACTGGCAAGATTGGTAGAATTATTAATCGCGTGTACGAGCTTTGTGCGTTGTTATATTATACGCGATCTAGATATTGTGATGTGGCTCTGAGTAAGTGGATCTGAAGAACTTCAGATGAGTGCCTCGTCGCTTATGAGCCCCCCGACGACTAGGCCCTCACAATGTTATTATCTTTTACACTTATTCACCGCTCACAGATTTTACACTTAATTTAACTTCATTATAATTATCGTAAGAAATCGATATATTAGATGTAAAATAGTAATGGACCGTGTATCATTGTCCTTTCTCTTTGCTTTTATTATCATAATCCAGCAGCTTTCAATGATGCTAGAAAATATTATCAATATTATTGGCAGCCACGTCTTTGAATGCGTACATTCAATTCCTTCCATGACTGTCATCTTTGTTCACTTCGCTGGTCGAAGTTATTTCTCCCATGTCCTTCGATTTTCTTTTACAAATATGCATATATATTTACTACTGTACAATTTTAATGAAATCATGTCAATTTATTACATTTAAAGTAATTATTGAGAACTTCTTCTTGTAAATACTATGTAGACTAGGATATTGTAGTTCATATCAAAATAGGAAATTAATATATATTAATATATATATAGTCAACAAAACAAAACATTATGCAGTTAATAGATCATAATAGTTTTTGTGCAATTTTAAACCAAATAAATTGGCATATACCTGACGGATTAGAGGAATCTGATGAAATAAAATACTTCCTACTCTACTTAAGATTAAATTAGTGATACTAAATATTTATTTATTTGCAAATTTTTAATATAGAACACACATTCATCATGTTTTGAAACCTTGGACACTACCTCAAAAAATATATCTGCAAATTGATAATATCGAGACGTGTAATAATCAAATATACTTGAATGAATCAATTAGGTGAATTGCGAAGCCAATGATTAGGCGATATCAATGGTCGTTTATTGGCCTAAATCAAATAAATTACGACTCTTCAACATTTACAAACACAAACGTGACTACATAACCATGGCACATTTGTAGCATGTATAAATAATGATTATAACATAAATTGTATTATTTAAAAGAAAGAAAGATGTAACATCAGCATGGAAAATAATATTTTCATTTATGCAATGTGTAGAAAAGTATGAATATATGTACATATAAAAACATTATAAAGCATAGAACATAAAAGTTTTATGCGTGCTTTGCCTGACAATCTGATGAGCGCAAATAGAACAATAATAGAGCAATTATTGAAAATAATATAATAATATTAAATTTGAATCCAATCTATTGGATTATTTACTGAAGTTCAAAGTAGTGCGATAAATTTTGTTATCTAAAAATAATACTCATTTTTATGATTATTATGATTATTTGTATTATTATTGTTATTATTATTATTAGTAGCTATGTTTTTTTTAATTGTAATGCATCAAACGCAAATTTTATGTATTTAGAATTCGTACATGTAGGAGCAGAAAGGTACAATAAAGTAACATGATGTGATACAATTATTTAAATTTAAAGATCAAAAGTTTTCGTTCCTATTTATTTCCATGTAGATTATTTTGAAATTCATATGGAAAAATGATTTTATATTACAAATATTTTTTACGTAAGTAACATTCAATTTTTGATTAAGAACAAATTTCACTCTTGAATAATTATCAACATGTCTATCAGCACATATATGCTAAAAAAAGAATTGAAATTTTTTAACTTTGTTTTACTTTTTATGTATTTTACTTACAAGACCGTGATTTCTTTCTGATGAACAAGAATTATGTTATTTACATATGAAAATTCTCCATTTTTCTGTTTTAAAGTGTATCTTTTTATTAGTTCATTCAATTTGCTCACTTCATTTTTTATTTTTTTTTAGTTTATATTAAAGAAACGTTACAAAATAAAGTATAAATGTGCAAGACTATGAATATTTAAATTAGAAATCTCCACAATAGAATGTAAAGATTTATAAAAAAAAATCGAATAATATTCATTTTTTCATTGAAAAAATAAATGCATGTTATTTCTGTTTGTCGGTTGCAGTAGAAACCTTTCGTCGGTTCTATACCTTGTGTTGAAACATGTATTACATTCAGAGCATTCACATCGATCTTAAAATAACCACGAGAAAAAGTGGAATTTCCGATGTTATGAATTATTCCTATATTTTTCTCGCGATCTTTACGCTAATATTACTGATAGTGATTAATTCGCATTATTAATTTTATTCACTTATTTTTTTTTACCTTACATGCGTCATATCGACATATGTAACGAAACATATAATCATCACTCATTAAGGAATGTAATCATCTTATGCTTGACGCTAAGATACTTCAGCCTTGTTTTCACAGTTATCCTGCTAACGTGTGATAAGCAAGGCGCATATTGGTGCCGTCTTTTACGGCTACAGCAAATATAAGAAGTTTCAACTGAACATGGATTCATTGAAATTCTGGAAGTGGATGCAAAGCTTTGAAAGAAAGAAATCAAATGAACGAAAACATCCAAGACTACAGCGATTAACATCATCTCTTGTGTAAGTAATGAATTTTTTTTTATATTTAATTATTATTTTTCGCAATTGCACTTTTCTTAAAACAAAAATTTGATTATACCACTAACAGAAATTCAAAGATATTGTTTGTCGTATTTTTTGAATAGTTCGAAGAAAGTCTAAGAATAAAAACAAAAATTAACAAGCATCACACGTACTCAGGTCAACTGTTGAAAGTTCAATTAGGGCTTATTTCATTTTCCAGTAATTTAGAATATAAACAGAACGTTTTATTATGGTTTATAAGTTAATTGAATTTGCTCATTTCCACGAATAGTGAATGTAATATACATCTCTGAGTTTAGTTAAATATTTTACATATTCCTTGAATAAATGTTTTTCTTCAATTTTTTTTTACATATAAGGATGTCATCCTTCAAATTAATGACATTTTTCCTGAAATAATAAAAAAAGTTGCAAGGTGAAAAGAATTATAATTATAATAACTAAAATTACAAAATGTTTGTATCGTTACATAATAATAGTATTTTGCACACGAATATAGTTTAAATTTCCGTTGTGTTATTTTCAACAATCTTTCAAGATAAAAGACTGTAGCAAAGAGAAAGATAATTACGAATTCTCCGCACAACTTCTCGTCAACTTTATTGTACCAGAAAGATACATGCTGAAACGTGAGCTATCGATCTTTTGTCCTATCTTTTTGTCATGACACTCATGAATTTTTTTCTTTGATACTTAAAAAAAAATCTACAATGATCCGGCAGAGATAATTTGCTCATTTGATTTTCCATAAGTGACGTCTAAAACGTGAAAATAATAATTTCTATATTTATTATTGATCCGTTATATTAATTGTTTGATCTGATGAAAAAAGTGGGGAAGTCCTTTTATTGACCCCTTCTACATCCCTTGACTACTGACTACGCCATAACTAGTGAAGTTTTCTCCCCACTAACTTGCGTGTACTTACAATGTATTCAGTCTTATTCGAACTACAACACGAGTCGCGTTTTCAGTTAAATTAGAATATAATTCTGTTTTATTTATTTTTCACAAAAAATTGTATTCTTTAAGTCACAAAAATGTAATTGGCCTCAATGTTGAAACCAGTATTCAATGATTTTCCGACAATGTCGAAATCAACACCAAAAAAAAGTGTAATTTCACTCAACAAATATACAACTTACCATGATAATAAAATGCTGTTATCGATTTTAACTGATACAGAACTCGTGATTGATAATTGTGAACCGATTCACTCGAAAAAAAAAAGATGTGAACAAAATAAAACCCCAATTAATTCAATTACACCTCACACATCTTATATGTTGATAGCTGTTGAAAATGAACAAATTATCAAAAGTGAAAACTTGATGTTTATCGAAAATAAAAATATTGTTCAAAACGTTACACTGAATCCTATTCAAAAATCACGAAGGAATAAATATTCAAGTGGATGGTATAGAAAATTCAAAACTGAAGTTGTCAAAAGTTTTCGAACTAGAGTTTATCCTGAGATAGTAAATGGGTGAGTATAATATTTTCCTGCATGTGAATAACTTTTTTTGTGTAACACACACGTGGGTAGAGAGTTTAAAGACCTCCGGAAATGGTGATTGGAGCGAGGAAAACTCGGGGGGAATGAAGGTGACTCATGTAGGTATATTTTTATGTATAATTATGTATTCAGTAGCCACGTGCGTGCTCGCATACGTATTTGTCTAGTTTACAGTTTATATATTGACCTACCTATATCAGTGTGGAACTATGTTAATGTTGTGTCTGTAATGTAATGGACTTCCTTTGGAGCCACCGAACCTGAACAAGAGGGTCCACACTCTGTGATTTCACTGTCGTATCTTTTGCAACTCACCTGTTAATCTTACGATAGCTTAAAAGAGATGGTAACACATCCGGGGGGTTAAAGTATCAGTTTCCTTTGGCTTTTAAACGAAGAAAAGACCGGATGTTGCATTATCAAGACTTAATAATTTTTCTTAAATATGTAAATTTTATTTTTAAATACAATATACAGTTTGTTGTCTACAATAAAAACATTTAAAACATTGTCAAGTTTTTTTGGTCTTTTATTTTTTTTAAGTGAGAGAACTTACTTAATCGATCCTCAAGTTATGGACGTTTATTGATTACCGATCTTAAAGGCATTTTGAGAAAGTTTGACTGACCAGTTACCTTTAACAAGTTTAAACTTTGTTAAATTTCTGAATTATATATCGAATTATCAGGAAGTGAACTACAAAATAATTGACAAAAAATGTTATTTGATTTAACTTACGTAATTTGTCTAAATTATTCAACATGTTTCACCAAATTGATTTAAAAATCATACGATATTACTTCCTTTATCCAATCTTTGTAATAAAATACTCTGGCATAAACTCCAGGATCTATCGCACAGCGATTACCGAATGAAACTATTCCATAAATTACTGTTGTGCCCGATAAAGGACCTCCAGAATCGCCATAGCAAGAATCGTAACCTGGGTCACCATAACACACATGGTAATTACGATTTAATAGCACTTCATAAGATGGAGCACTGTTGATACATATTTCATAAGGAATATAACGGATCCTGACTGTGCGTAATAAGTCAGACGTGGACTGAATAAAAAAAAAATTAGCATGAAAAAGTTTTTCATTTAATTTACCAGTTCTTTCATAAAAATTTCAACTCACTTTGGTTTCAGTTGCACCCCAACCTGAGACCCAAAGCCAGCTAGGAATGAAATCAGAGTCAGGTAATTTTGCCGGTTTAATTTTAAAAGAAAATTCAAGTGGTGGATTTATTCTCAAAAGTATTATATCATGTATAGGTATTCCATATTTATGTAATTGAGGATTGTACATTTTTCTTCCTAACACCGCATGAACAGACCCACCATGATCATGATAAGAAGAGCCTGCCCTCACATAATAACGTGTTGTATAAAAGTCGGGGTCTCTGAAAGTTGAAAATCATTACTTTGGATTCGAGTCGAGTTGGAAATTACGATAAAAATTAATGAATAAAATTAAATAAAAAATAAATAGCTACATGCAATGATAGGCAGTTAAAATCCAAACAGATGATAATATAGTCCCACCACATATAAACTCACTCTCGGAATGAAGAGAAACCATAAATGGTCTCCATCGAATTGGAATGATTATTCCGCCAATAATTTTCAACTGTGAATAATTTGGCAGTCGAGTTGATTCAATACTACCAATAGCAAACCCTTTAATTACGAAACGATTAAAATTTTATTACCATTAAATGGTACAATAAAAAAATATTAGATTCTTTTACAATTAATTGTAATGTGATAATTACAACCATTTGTATTTCAATATATTATATTAACCAATATTCAATTTATTTTGTCTTTATATAATATTCTTAAATCATTTTTACAATAAACATCAATAACTAAAGCGATGTTAATTATTATTTATTGGAAAACGAGTACAAGAAGAATTTTCAAAATACAAGTTTGGATAGGGAATAGAATCTTGTTAAAAGATATACCAAAGAAAAGAGACTGAATTTGTGTCCGTAGAAATATGGGTGTACCTCTTTAATATTCCACGTAAAATTTTTTTTTTGCAAAAATTATTATAAAGATATTTCCAAACTAATATTATTCTACTTCATATTATTTAAAAAAAAAATAGCACTCTTCTTTTGTTTCAAATATAAAAACAATAAATCGAATAAGTATTTATTAACGTTAAATGTTTTGTTTATGTGAATGAAAATATAATAATCGTATTTTTCAGAAAATATTAAACATTTTTTCCACATTAATAACCGCATTATACAACGTCATTATCTAAGCTACTGCAGTCATTTTTACATAGAAAATTTATTGCGTATACGTTGCTGAATTATAAATTATTTAATAAACATATGATTATCTTCTTAATTTCATTTAAATAAAAATACCAAAATACATTACCAGTAAAATATAACAGCAACAGAATGAGAAACATTTTTGTATATTCAAAATCGACTCTCAAATTCAGCTCACTTACTCATTGTTCTATTTCCACACTTCAACATTGACGATAGCACCGTAAAATGTCACTAGTGCTATAATTTATTCATTTGTTCTTCCCGTGAAGATATAACAATGATTGGAAATAAGAGATAAAAAAATATAGCGAGAGATATAAAATTGACACAACGAGGTTTTGTTTTGTTTGATAACGATAGAACAATTTATTTATTGACGTGTAACATCAACACCTAAGATAGCTGCTCAAAATCATAAAGTACTCATTGAAAATACGAGCTTTATGTAACAATAAAGTTATTTTTTATTTTAGTTTCATGATTCGAATATTTGTTTTGAGGATTGTTGTTTGATACTCTTGGAATTTTTTTTCCATAATTTGGATAAGGCTCAGACGTTTCTCCGTAAAAATCGTAATTTTCATCATGATTAGTTTCCACAAATTCACTATAGCTATCATAATCGTGATTGGGCTGAAAAACACACAATATTGATTAATAGTATTGACAACAACTATTATAAAGTACTCACGGTTTCTGGAGATATGTTATTGCCATTTTTATTCCCTCCATACATAACAACGGCCAATGTACTGATACATTCATAAAATACGGTTGCTAATAAAAAAGTATTTGCCAATGTAACAATAGCGCTAGATTTCGTTGTTGCTTCAATTTGACTCGAACGTTTCATTGACACAATTAAATGCTTTATTGGTTTTTGAATATCCTTTTTACGAATTAATGCATTTGACTGTGTATCTCCAATTAACTTGGATTTTATTGAAAACTTGGGTTTTTTATGTGCACTTAAAATTCTCTGCATCGTAAGATAAAAGTAATTACTTGTTCGTAAATTTTCAGATAAATCGATTTCTAGTGCATTTGATGCGGCATCAACTAAAGATTTTTGCACTTGAATTGTCATTCGGTGAAGTTGATTCATTACATTTGAAATGATCTCTATTATACTTTCTTCAAACTTATTCAGTGCTTTAGAAATTCTAATGTAACTTTCATTAGCATGGTTATTCTCTTTTGACATTTCTGATAATTTATTTTTCGTGATTATACTTTGTCTATAAATTTCACTCAGAGTATTTATCTCTTCAAGAACATTTGACACAAGCTTATTTCTTGATGCAATTCTTTTGAGATAATTAGTGATGTTTTCTGATGCGAGTAATTGCATAAAATGATGATTCGAAAATGATACTGTCTTTTTGCTCGGAGATAAATTTTCATTGCTTGTTTTTTCACAATTAATGCTAAATTTGTTATTCACTTCTTTCATGTTACAAGTTGTTCTTAAATCATTGATGCTTCTTTTTAAACGATTTAAGTGTGCCAGTGCGAAATATTGATTATGACTTTGTGGAAAACGATTCAAAGAGGTTTTGATACATTTCTCCAATGACTTTATCTCTTTTAAGCAACCATTGAAATCTCTCTTTGCATAAGTCAAAAGTTTACACACAAAAGCTTCAAGCTCACTGTAAGAAATACCTTTTGTCATTGGATGTTTCGGAATAGGTTTTCTCAATCGTGAACTAACAATTCGTTTTATTATACTCGGTGAATGTTTCATAAGAGATTCAAACCCATATTTGAGATCATGAAACTTACTAGTAGTCAACCAACATTCCGTGAAAGCAAAAAAAAACCTTTCGAACTTTTCAAATAAATCAAACATAAAAATTCCAAAAATGGGTTCATTTATTAAAGAATGGGTTATATTATATTTTGAACTTACGTAGCCTTTTTCTTTATAATCATTTATTCGAAGATGCTTTTTAATTTTCGTATTAACATCTGTACCGAAAGGTATTAAAGACATAAGTGATAGATATTCTTTTATAATATCAGCATCAAAACTTGGTGACTGAATTCCTACTTCGATCATACTTTGAACAGGAAAAATGGATGGTTTATTATATCGAGCAAACAATCCAATTTGACTTAGTAATGTTATAATTGCACTCCATAATATTGAACTAATTGATCGCATGTGCATTCTAGCTTTGATACTTGATCTCATTCCGAATATCTCATAGTAATACAATTCTCCTAATTTATCAACTATATTATATATCTCTTGATTTAAACTCTGAGGGTCTAAACTGAATAGATATGTAAAGTCGAAAAATTTATCAAAATCATCTTTGATAACTTCCTGTCCAGTTGATCCTTCATTGGAGAGTCCTAATAGTTAAAAAAAAATTATTTCTCCCTACTTTTTTTTTTAAATAAAACGACAAAAAACAATTAAAAAAATTGTTAATCAAACAAACTTCTTGCCAATGAAGTTTAAAAAAAATAAACAGAAAACTTTATATTTACAATTCAATTCTACAGGTTTTGTTGAATATGAATATTCACGGGCAAATGCAACATGTGTTGCTTTTCTGTAGCAAGCTTTGAATAAAATAATTATATTAATTTGTCATTTAGCTCAGGAATTTTATAAATTCATGTAAAAAGTTTGTGATGATAATATACTTATTTTATCTCATATGAATGAATCAAAAACTTACCAATTAAAAAAAATATTAGTAACGTAAGAAACATGATGATCAAAACTAATATTAAAATAGTCTTTTTTTGCTTTTTATAATGGCTAGATAGTGTGAATACTTACACATGATATATCGTTCTAGTCTCATCCCTATACTTTATAGCTAATAAATAATAAGAGTTTAATGTGACAAGCTAACGACATGACATGAATCTTTTTTTATTATTTTCTCACTGTATAATGTCAACATTATAATAATATCGAGTTTTTCTGAATGTCTAACAATGTCATTGATTTTATCTCTTTTGAGAAGAACGAGAATTAATGATGTCACAAAACGATAGGAAAAAGATTTGCATCTACTCTGATTCATGCAATAATCTCTACGAAGAAGAACAAATTATTTCATGTAAATTTTTTCAATTGAAAATTTCTATCTGCATATAGCAATTATTTAATTAGAAATAAATGTTTGTAATGTGGAAAAACTTTTATTATTAATTTTCCATATAAGTTATTGAAGTTATTCTTCATGATCCTGATGAATTGATGAATATATTGTAAAATAATAGAATGAGAACAACTAATATTAAAAGTCAGTTTATTAAAAATGACAGATTCAAATAGAGAATCAAAGACAAGACGTCAAAAGTTAGCTAATCTCAGTCCTAAACTGGAGATAAACAACTCTCCCCTCGTTGCTATAAACAATCCCATCGTCAAGCAATTGTCATCAATTAACAAACTGTCGTTAGTCAATCCATCTATAGATGGACACACATATATTTTACAATATATTTAAAAAAGAAAATAAAGTTAGTGTTGATCAATAACAATTGTGGTAACAACTTATGGTAACATCAGAAATACCATTTTTATGAATCAGCTGGGAAAATTGACCAGTTAGTGGTGCCATCTGACATGAACAGACTATTCTACTGATTCATTTTGCTTGTACCAACTTTATCTACTTGTTTGGGCAGCCAGTGGATGTCTGACAGCCGGCATCCTTGGCCCAAAATAATCTTTACTTACATCTGCATAAATACAATCATTACTTTGTGTTGTGCACGTTAAATTATTTTATCTATATCTAGGCATTAAAAAGATATTATTTGATTGAAAGTGTTAAAAAATTGTCATTACTATTTGAAAAAAGAGTTAATAATTACATGTAAAATAGTAAATAAATATCTGTATAGTGTTCATGACTGTGGATCCGCTTGGAGCAATTCATCACTTCAAATTGAAGCTGTAATTAAAGTATTATAATTGTTGTAATTAATAATATAATTGATATTCACACTTCCAAAATGAATGAAGAAGATATGTGGAAAGGATTTTACGAGAAAATTATCAGAGAAAAAGAGCTCAAAGATGCAGGAATAAAAGAAAAAAGTGAACATGAGATCAGGTAAATAATGATATGTTTGATAATAAACAGAATCTAAAAAGTCAAAGTTAGATTTAGAAACTAATATTGTTTCTGTTTAAATTTATTATCATTTTATGATAAATACAATCGATTTTTTATCGCTAATGTTCATTGATAATCCAAGAAACTGAATTAAATTTAATCGTGACGTCAATTGATGATAAATGATGTCATTCCGGAATTCCTGCAGGTAACACTTGAGTCAATTTTGAATACACATACCGACGTCAAGACATTTTGCATATGACGTAGTCCAGACAGACTTTCAACTAAAGTATGTCTATTAATAAGCTTTGGAAAGCATTAGTATCCATCCAAATGTTTGAAATAGAAAGTTTGATATCAATTTTGGTCCATTCAAATCACATATCGTATGAGTATGAATAAATACCAACGAATGGTCATATGTCTGACACACATACATTCTTGAAAATTATAAAAGGAGGCTGGAACTCCTTACAGATCGTTATATGAAGGTCATTTATGATTTATATTCATACTATTATGTTCACACATCATAAAACAAGTGAAGTACATTGTAATTAATACAATACATACTATATACATTTTATTTACACAAATATTTTATTTGCACTATAACAGAAAAATAAACAAAGTAACAAACATTATGAACATACAATAATATATTTAGGGAGTACCCATTCTAATTAGTTTGTCAAATGATGCCAATGACGCCAACTCGTCTAAACAGAAGTTAAAAAAAAGCACAAACTTTGCTATATAAGAATTCTTAGAAAACTTTTTTCAAGTTGAATCTGAAGTAAACGTCTAAATATCACCTGACACGACTTCCAAATATCTTTTTTCTAAGTTTTTTTAATTAAAATTTTACTAACCCGAATCAAAATGAGTGAACACGTTGAAATACATGTTTTAATTGACTGAAATAGTGATATTATGTATAAATGAAGAGTTTTTAACCTGATTTAAATCAAAATGAATTATCTATTTGTAATTATAAAGATACAATTTAATTTTGAAATATTTTCTTAATTTATAAATTCAATCTAAACTTTAATCACTGAAGACAATATAAAAGGATAGTTACTTAATTGTAATTTATTTAGAATTAAAATTGATTCACTTAATATATCATTTAAGCTAACTATAAGTGAGATCTAGCATACATACTTGCTGTGTAATATATATAAATAAATTATAATATAATTGCAGGAATAGTTGATTGATTTGAGTAGGTGTCATTAACGAGGTGACCTAAAATTCAATAATTTAAAACTCCAGAAGTTATGATTTTTTTGTATTTTTCTCTGTAATAAAGTGCGTGAAAGGCATGAAATTAGCTAATAAGGACCTTTTATTTAAAATGTGATTGCTTTAAGAAAAAATAGATAATCAGTTTTTCTAATATGATTGATATAAAATTATTCCTAAGTTTTTGAGTGTAATTTAACAAGACGAGCGCGAAAACACGCCTGAAAATACTAGTATTATAAATTATTACTTCAACTATCATCATAAAGCAATGTTTGTTAAAACATCCATTCGTCTTTTGAAATCTTTTTAAATTTGTTTCTTTATCTTTAATACACTTATCATTAAATTTTTTTGTTCAATGAATTCATGCATCTGTACGAAAAAATGATAGTTGATAGTATGCTATTGAGCTTGGTTTATAAAGTGAAAAATATTTTTGCAAAAGCCAACTACACAGTTTATCAGTTCTGTGATATATTACATCAACTTGGTAGACGTTTAAAAAATCATCTTGAAAACATTTGATTGATTACTTTTATTTTGTAGACTATTGAACTGCTTTCTGCTGAACGAATAAAGATATAATAGTGAATGTTACTTTGGTATATTAGTAAAGCTACCTCAATTCCAATAATAGAAATTATAGTGGGTCTGAAAATTGCAATTTTGTTGAAGAATTTCAACCTTTTCCTTTGAAAACTGAGTTGAATACACATTTCAGGATTTTTATGAATATTTTTTCATTTTGTTTCAGTGAATTCTCATAAAAATAATAATAATATACTACATTTATTACAAAAACTTAAATTTTTATCACATTTTTCTGCTTTTATAACATAGTAATATTCTTTTCATTTACATGATCCATTAGAAATACATATAAAAAAACTCAACTTTTATTCTCATAATATTGCACGGTTTCATTATTTCTATTATTAATTTCGTAAATTATTTATCGAAAATTCATTGAGCAGAAAAAAATTATCCGGTGAATGACTGCCGATTTTCGAACTATTGTTTGCTAAACTTGGTGATTTACGACTTCTTGATTATTTCTAGAAACTTATTGACATAGTTTAATACTATTTAAAAATGAAATTTAGGTCAGTTATAGATTGTATGAGGATCCAAAAATAATTCTTTCATATAAATCAATGATTTCTTAGTTATTAAAAAACAATAACCATTATATTCATTTTATTTCTTGTATTTAATTCAAGGCGAGATATTCATTTAATTATTCTTTAATGATTCTGTTGAATCTCTAATTACGAATAAACTGGGAAAGTCATTGACAATGTGTCACTAAATACACAAAATAAATTTTCTATAAACGTGACAATCACACATGTTATAAAGGTGTAGAATATCTAAGTAAATAAATAAAAAAGTTGAATGATACGTTAAACTCCTTAGATAATTAATCATTCTGATATCTATTTATCTGAATCGGAATACACTTAGCCATTTCTCAAGTTTTCTTCGGACTTAGCCAGACATTTAGTCAATTTATTATCGTTATCACGAGAATCAATTTCTCGAGTCTGTAAGACTTGCATTGTACATTTGTACACCTCCAACTACACTTCAGCACCAGCTTGTCTGGAAGGAAATACTTAAAATCAGTCTTTTTCAAGCTTTTCTTTAAGTATTAACATTTCATTTGACCAGTATAGAAAAGAAGTAGTGATTAAAATTAGTTAAAACTATTTCGTCAATACTTTATTTGGATAAAAATTGGGCAATACAATGAATGGTAATAAGTGATATGGAATTATTACTAAATTGATAACGTGGATTTATGTCAAAGGCTGAAGGATAAATACAAAATGGCTCATTTTCAAAAATGTGACACCAAGCACCCTTATTATGCAATAGCAGCCATTCGAATGACCCAGAGACCTGAAAATAAACCGGTGACCGTAGGATCTATATATTGGAAGTTTGTTGCTCACAACTTTATCCATAAAAGGTGATACCATAGAACAATTGTTAATTGCCAAATGGATTAAATGTTTAGTGCTGTTTATTTATTACTAAATTTACGAATCGAATGTGTGTTAGTTATACATGTAGTGCACGGCTTATTAGAAATAGTTTCTACATTAATTATAATGTGTTTTAGTTCAATTAATAGCATATAATATTAACCCCGATGGAAATGATAGCCATGTTGAGAATATATGTAAAAATATATGAATTATGTATGCCGATAAATAATCATGTATAAATTGCGAGTTGAAATATATTGCTTTTTGTCATTTTTCATATATTCGATTATATATGTTCTCACATATATTCGTTCAATATGCACAACATATACATATACTTGATATATAGATTAACGTCAACAATTGAAAATTTCGATTGTGTTTAAAATAAAAAAATTTAATTTCTATGAAATATCAAATATGAATACTTATAAATTGTTTGTAACAAATAAGATACATCACTCTTCTTAACTTTGGTTTGCACAATATTATTTATATTTCAAATCAATTTAATGATAATTTGCAATTATTTAATTAAATAGTTTATTAATGTTTACAGTTTTGTTTAGTAAAAATATTGAAATACAGAATGTAGAATGATCATTCTATCGTTAAACAATCAGAATATTTTGTCAATTACTTTAAATAATAATCATTCACTTATGTAATGTTAATTTTGTTTCACAATTGATTTCAACAATTGGTGACAAATATACTTGATTGTTAATATTTTTTTAAACATTTTAAATTATACATCTTTACATATGCATCAATATATATTGAACCATGTATATCATACATTCACACATAATACAGATATGTATGTGTATATATTTTAAAAATACATTTTATTTATATGTGTGTTATTCTTATCAAAAGTTAGTGAAATCCAAACATATCGAATAGTCGTTTAAATAGTTATTTTAGTGTCTAGAGAATAAAATATTTGAGGATACTAAAAGGATTAATTAACAATTTACAGGATTCAAGAATCCGACGGAGGATTTTTCGAGAACTTGGGAACTTTGTTAGCAGAAAAAGTTCGTGCTCAAGAACTTGCAGAAGGTCCTTTACCTATAAAATCTCATAAAAATAATGATGATGATGAAGAAGAAGAAGAAGAAGATGTGATCAGTGAAGAAGGAAGCATTGAAGAGCCAACTGAAGCTTTACTCGAATCTGACAGTGATCGAGATGAAAATGAACAAGCTCGCGACATCGTTGTCAGCTCTGTTGGCTGGAATGTAAGTAAAAAGTAATTCAATAAATTTTCTGGTAAAAAGGTAATAGCCTTCATACTCATCAAAAAATATTCAAAAAAAGGAAGATATTTATCAAACAGAAAATTTTAAATTAATTATGATTAATCCACCATTTCACTTTTGTAATAATTTATATTCGTTGGTTTGTAATTCATCAACAAATTTAATAAATAATTCAAGAAAAGTAAATCTGAATGTTTCATTTTCAGATGTAATTAGGATATATTACAGAATTCATAATGGGATTAAGTCATAGAATGTCCTCTATTGAAATTAATTATAGACGTGATATAAACATTGTTTTTTTATTGTATAAATTTCTCTGAATCCTTCTTTCTATGTAGATTTTTATGAAATACTTAATCATTTCATTATGATGCATTTACATCGAAAACTCAAAAAATTTGTCACAATCTTTAACATTATCAACATTAATATTTTTATTACTTTTGCTTTCTCTACTTCAGAATATTTCTTTAATACCGAAATCCTACTTCAGCTTACACCTAAACATAAATAAGGGCTGTAATAGCTACTTAGCTATCTTAGTCTTTCATCCAGTTTCATGAATTTAATTTGCAAAAAATAAAAAAAGAAGTTATCAAAATGTCTGACTCTTTTTTTTTCATATAAATATCTAATAAATGTATGCATTTCTGATGAATATTTGTCATTACTATTATACATATACTTAATAAAAATTTATGAGCATGTTCTAACAGAGTAACAATATCAGACGTAGAACAAATGTATAATTTATTTTAAATGATTGATCTGTAAAATGATCGTTATCATGTTAATTACAATTAGACACAGTGCCATAGACATAGACGATGTAAGTGTATTTTTGAAATGATCGTAAACTATAATATGTCTGCAATTCATTGAATGAATTGTACTAAATTGTATCGACAAAGCATCAACTGTTTGATGAAAACTATACTCATTCATTGCAGTCAAGTGCATGGTAATATGAAACTCGTGCGAAAGAGATAAATTAAATTCTGCATTGATTATTTATTTGCAGATAAATTGTTAATTTAAACGGCATTTTAATAATGCATATCTAATTTATATATCTATTATCAATAACCATTTTACAATTATTAAATACAAGTATTTGATGATAAATGAAATGTTTAGTGAATTCGGATCAAGGGTAACTATTCCAAGAGACAGTGAATCCCAGGAGACAAGAAATAGTGGCATAAATCTCAGCGTGACCAAGGGTATTAGGTCGGTATAAACTGTGCTTTGGGAGATGCTGGGATTCATCTTCAGATATATTAAGTTAGTGCGCTTGCGTTCATATAAGAGTGACGTACGTGGTGAAACACCACCACGAGGATTCACTGACAAATGTGTAGCTCGGTCCATCTATTCCTGGCAGTGTTAAGTTAGACTTGGTTACGTCTCTATCTTGAAGCATTTAACATCTTTTGTTTATTTTTTTTATTCTCTCCTCTTGTTAATCCACTTCATCACAATAACGATTAATACAACTGTAAGCTTCTCAAGATCAAAGGGAGTGAATGAAGCTCATCACACGTGGAGTTAGTCAGAATTAAAGATGCTTATTTAAGTTGTTATTCAATCTGTGATATGTACAAGTGATCTTTAGAAATCAAATGATATCTGTTATTGTAATGACCATATTGATTTCAATATAACTATATTACCGGAAATTTTCTGTTTAAAAATAATTTAGACTCCGATATGTAGTAAGTCTTTTATTTTCGGCACTTTTTCACTAAAGTCTTTCATAATCATCTTTAAATATTTCGCTGTTTTTCAAATAGAAAATAATTCTGTTGTTTTTAACTTTTACGTCTTAAAGATATACATCCATTTTTATTTGAATTTTTTTTCAAATCTGTAATTCTCTGCTAGTAATAATTAAAGTTTTTTATGTCAAGCAAAATAATAAATTACGAGTACTTTGAATGATAAAGTTTTAAACGATGCAATTCAAGCCGTCACTAAATAAACAAGAAAAAAAATTTCATTGAATGTATAATAATGTGCCTTGGAGATGCCTTGATAGTCAATCAGCTAATTGTCGGTATATCAACTTTCATTGGACACAATTGTTGGAACATATGAATGTGCCACAGTTATACATTCAACTCACTAGTTTAAACGGGATGCGGCCCACTTCACGATAGATACCTTACTCTAAATCACCTGCTCACCTATATTTGTGCCAAAAATTACGTGTTATAACATCGAAAATATATATTTGTCGTAAAGTTTTACTACGCTATCTACTTTCTGAGGGTATCTATAGCTTTTATTTTTTTTTTCTTTTATTTTTAAAGAATTGAATGGCAAGAAGTCAACTATTTAAAGACGTTGATCACAGCATTCACACATACTCTAATAGCTGAGCCAATAAAACGATACAATTATTTTATAGATTGTTTTAATTATGCTTGTTAATTGACATTTTACACAATATCTATCGAATCATACACTATAAATTATTATTTCAATTTCATCAAGTTTTTATGTCAATATAAGTTAACGGCAACTTTATAATAGCTGAATTCATAGTTTTTTATTTTCGAATTAATTTTCAGAAAAACTAATAGCTGCTTAATATTATTAACAGTTTATTACGAGATGATTGTGTATTATTTGAAAATAATTTTATTTTAAGTCTTTTTGGTACTATTAACTCGAAAAGCTATAACAGACTAATTTTATACTTAGTGTTCAATGACAATCATACAGAATTTGAAGTTGAGCACTGTCATAATCGGATATGCACGACGAAAAGTGGGGGTCATTGGTCGAGGATTATCGGTAGAAAGGTCAGAGACAAGGCTCATCATCGTATTCAATATGATGGCTTTGACGATCAATTAGAGTTAGAAATAGTGCAAGTGATCATCTTCGGTATAGAGTTTAGAAAAAATCTTAAATCATACGATCAAAGTTAAATCTTACTATAATTCTGTACCAGATGTACTGAGAAATAAGTTATTGTCTTTATTATTCAGCAGCTGTGTTTTTTTTTCAAGTAATCTAGTCATATATTGAATATAGTAATTCTCTTTATTAATCATTCAAATCATCAAAACTATAAAAAATAAAATAATTGTAAAGATAAAGTTAAAAAACTTCTTCGTAAATAATGCAATTTACATCTATTGTTCATTGTGTAGACATACATAAACTAATTAACTCATAATAATGGTGGTGACGAAAACATTAATGAGGATGAATTCTGTCATCCACAATAAGAACACCTTTCGGGGTATACCAAAGGCTGAATTAGAACGAAAAACCCATGCGATTCTTCAAGCAATGACGGTAAGATAATATAAACCAATTGACCCGATTAAAAATTTATTATGTTTGTAGAATGTCCTTGAAATTGTTTGTATAAAGTATTTCAACAAATAATCTATTCTGTTAGATATCTAATTGTTTTGATAAATGATTATTAAACACAAATCTTTCATAAGATTATGGATTTGTTATATTATATTCAACTAATATACAGCTACTATCATATTAATAGAATGTAATTATTTTGTATAAATATATAATTAATAAAGTTATTTTTACTCGTATTTAGAAAAGCCTGGAAAAAGTATGTAGGTATGGAAACATGATGAATTTTCCACAATTTTTTTATAAATGTTTGATATAAACATTAAAATAATTCATTTAACTTATTATTTAATATTTTTAAATATGTGTTAATTACATTGAAAAATAAACAAAAGTTATGTGTTTTCATTTCATAGATTGAAGAACTTTATACTGCGCTTGTTTATATGACGCAACATCAAATCGGCTATGATGTGTCTAATGAATGCGGCCGGGAAGCTCTACTGAACCATCTGCAGCAAGCTTTCAAGGTTGATAATGAAACACACATGCAAGTTTTGGAGGAAACACAAAATATGGAGGTATGTTTTTATATAAATTTATAGATTAAAATATCAGAAGAAATATTTTTACAAATGATATTCTATTCCTAGGCACCTGTAATGCATCTCAATGTGGAGGTAATCGAAGCAAAGGAGCTGGTCTCTAAAGATTCTAATGGCAAAAGTGATCCATTCTGTGCTCTGTATCTGGAGTCTGCACCAACTAGAAGGTATAACACAGCTGTCAAAACCTCCACATTAACTCCTGTGTGGGAAGAACACTTTGAACTTCCATTAGACGATGCAGAGAATGATACTCTGTGTCTTGAAGTATGGGATTTTGATGCAGCTGAAACGGTACCAGAGAAAATGAGTAAAGTAAAAGATGTAAAAGGTGTTAGAGGTTTAGTTAAATTAGCCAAAGAAATTGCAGTAACTGCAACTACTGGCAGTCATGATAATGAATTTATCGGTCGATGTAAAATACCTCTGAAAGACATTCCCGTAACTGGACATACAACATGGTATTCTCTTGAAAAAAAAAATAAATCCAAAAGACGAGGTGTAGTACGACTGAGACTTGCTTTTAGTGCTGAACATAACACTCAAGTAGCAGCACAAGAACATAGATATCTTATTCGAATTTTACTTCTTCATGAACTTGAAACAGAAAAAGTTGAAAAGTATTGCTGGTGTGGACGGTGGTCAGCAGCAGCCGAGGCTCTTATTCTTCAGCACAGTGCACAAAGAGGATTATTAGCGCGTGTTGTTGCATTAGCCCAATGGGTTGAGTACTCTAGAATTCATCAACAACATCCCATTCACTACTCCGTATTCTCTAAACTTGCAGTGGATTTTATAAGACCTGTGGAAAATGGACTTTTTTCAAAAGACGAAGAGAAATTATTTTGGGATGCTACAAGAAAAATTCTTTATTCTTGTCTCAATAGCATTAGAAAAATTAGAAGACTTTCTGCTGGGGATAAAAATGTGATGACACAAATGGGAGCTGTTCTAAGGTAAGTAAATAATACCATAGTTTACTTGGAGTAATGATTCATAGCTACTTAGTATTATTCTTTTGGTCATGAAAATTGCTTCCAAATTTAATGTAGTATTCTTTTATATACTGAGAACAAACAAAGTAATACAATTTTAGATGGACTAAATTTTTCTCTTTTTTCAGTACTTTATCATCAATTGCTTCACTTCGGGTGCCAGATGATTTTGAGTTATTTCCAGTAAAAATGTTTGGTTGGTTTCCAGAGCCTGATAAAACAAAAGTAGATGTTATGAAAGCATTAGAATATACTGTAATCCAAGGTGGAGCTGAATGGTAATTGTTATAATCATTTAATTACAAGATAATTATTATCATGAGCTTTAAAACGTCATATCTATTTACAGGTTTGATCATATTTTAAATAATAATTCCCCAGAAAGTGATACTGATGATGATGCATTAAAGTACCATATCAAAGTAATCCAGTTAGTCCGGGCTGATCTTCAAAGAGCAATGGAAGTTTACGACAAATTATTCATCAAAAAAATCAACTTTCCTTATGCAAGAACTCTATATATTATGTATGAAAAGAGAATCACTGATATGTGCATGATTATTGTTGAAGATGTGTGTCTCAGACTAAAGAGAATTGAAGTTGACAGTAATGATGATGCTGAATTAATACTTGGTACAACTTTATTTGAGCTCTACCTTTCCCTTCAACGTTATGCTACGATGAGTAAAGTATTTTGTTTAGATGGTCTAGAATACATGAAAATCTTAAACTACCATGAATGGTTCAGAGCCGGAGTATCACATTGGCTAGATATAGCTGTATATAAAGCTTTGAGAAGAATCGAGCGAGCAGTAGAATTTGATACTCTTCAGCCTGTAGATTCGAGTGTCCAATATAGCTCTAGTGCTGTTGATACTTTGACAATATTCTATCAAATAAAAGTCTTTTGGAATCAATTAGCGTGGCCTGATATTGAAGGATCGTATACATTTATAGCAAAGATAATAGATGATATTTGTAAATGTTCGATTTCCTATGCTGATATGATGGCATCGAAAGCTGAAAAAGTAGATCAACAACATCAAGAATCTGAAAACAGCAGCAGTGTTTATGATAAAAAGTTTGAAGTATCTACTGCTTGGTGCTTTGCAATCAATAATATTGATTATATAAGAACGTCAATTGGACCATTAGCTAATGATTTAGGATTGCAAGGCATCATTGACTCTCTAAGTGAAAATAAAACTCAACAAGAAGCAGATCGTTGTAGACAAACTCTGCAACTGATTATTAATAATGCTACAGATACTGTAATGAATAAGATAATAGATTTGTTAGAGGTTGTTGCAAATAAAATGCAGCCTGCCATGAGTAGATATCTGATGGAAGGTGCTGAACTTATTGATACCACAAGTAATGCAATGGATCGATTATTGCAGTATCTAGATTCTAATATAACTACATTACATGATAACTTAAATGAAGATAATTTTGATAGAGTTCTTTTAGTCATTTGGGAAATCATGTCGCAAACACTGTATAAATTAGTTCATTCTAACCTTGAAAAAAGGAGACCACCCTCATTTTATTCGAATTTGCATCGTACCCTTCACACATTGATTCGATTCTTCAATCTTGGAGCAGATGAAAAAGCCAACGTTCAAGTTCTAGAGAAAATTGAACGACTTTTAAAGTTGCATGGACTTGAGACAGCTGAATTAATTCATCGTTATACATTGGAAAGACTTGAAGAACAGCAAAAAATTGATGAACCCTTATGTGGAATGCTCACAGTTCGAGCTCAGTTTATTAGCAATTCATTGAATGTGCAAATCCTAAATGCAAGAAATCTACGAGCTATGGATAGTAATGGTAAGTGAGATTAACATAGCATTATTAGACTTGAGAAAAACAGGGAATGCAGTTAAATACTCCGCTTGCTGATGGATTTTTAGTGAAAAACTGAAAAGCTGGCAAAATTCGACGATGTCTTCGTTCGGTTAAATACAGAGAAAGTCTTAGAATATCGCGAATGATTTTTTCTTTCAATTTATAGGCGATTTAATAGGAAAGCTGTCTACTCTTGAGCGCAAACTACATTCAAAAACTAAACATCTACCTAAACGTAAACTCAAAGAGATGAAGACAAGTATGTAAAGCAAGTGGGATACTAATAATTATGTTCCTCTATGTCATATCTTTTATCATGCCTGCCCAGTTTATTCTCTCAAATAGATAAATTAAGTTTAAATACAGGTTGCATGGTTAAGAAAAAAAAAATATCAATAGTATTGTGAATGTACATGGGGACTATTGAATCTGATATGGTCATAGTTTGTATCCATTGCCATGCATGCTCTGTTGACATAGGATTTCAAAGGTTTTTCTGGAGAATTTTTTAAAAATTTCTAATTAAAATTTTTCTTTATATTACAGGAAAATGCGATCCTTACGTCAAAGTGAGATTACTACCTGAAGAAAAGTTTAATGATATCAAAGTACCAAAAACTCATGTGCAAAAAGAAACTCTCTTCCCTCTTTTTGATGAAATTTTTAACATGTAAGTAAAAAAATCGATTTTCATACAAAATGATTTGATTTAAATCGTACATGTTGTTGAATTGTTCTTTTTTTCTGACAGTCCTTTGACTTCTGAACAAAGAAACATTGAAGATGCAATTGTAGTATTTGAAGTGAAAGACAAAGATTTTCTCCGAACAAAGTTTATGGCAGAAGCATTTTTGTCGTTTCATGAAATATCTGAAACTGATCATGATACTTCTCTGGAATCTTTACAACAAATACATTTGAAATTGTCACGTCCAACCGATAAAGGTAATCATATCTTTGATTAATATAAAATTCTTTTTTAATATATATTTGAATACTAAATTGATATTTTTCAGCTACTGATATCATTCGAGCTTTAGAGCATCGCAAAGGAGACAATCAAGCAATGGATTTTATTTCAAAACTTAATACAAAATTAAATACAACCAGATAATTTTATTCAGTGGCCTTAAGTTTTTAAAATATTTCTCAGTTCTTGTAAATAACAATGCATTTTTAGACAAAATAATTTAAATATGATTAATTGTACTTGTAGAGAAAGTAATAGCAGCGATAAAAAACAATTGTTATAACATTTTTGTAGTTTAATTGTAAATATTCTAAATTTATATTTGTGACCTTTAATAAAAAATTCTTCTATAGCAGTTTATTCATTTTCATGAAAGTAAAATATACAATGTCCATAATTTTTAATGTATGGGAACAATAAATAAATACCTCACACCGTGATGTGGCGCCATCAAACTAAATTTATCAAGAATTTCAACTACTACAATATATTCATTTCATACCGACGACGACAATCTTATCACAATAATTTATAAATGCTTTCAAAATTATCTAGATGTTAAGCAAATTGTAATTGCAAATTATGAACGATAACATAATAGCTTTAGTTACTATATTTTCATATATGTATTGATTTTTTTAGTCTTCTTCAAGGGTTTCGAATAATTAATTGCCTTTAATTGCTTTATCCAATCAATAATTAAATTAATATTATCCTTTGATAATTCAATCGTTTTGTAGTAAAATGAACACAATATTTCATAATATTATTATTAATTTATAGATCCATAAAAATTCCTATTGAAATATGCAATTTCATATGAAATCAATAAAAATTTTAAGTATTGCTCTAAAAATCTACGATTTATATCTTTTCAAGTTTTGCTACTTGATAAAAATATTAGATGACATAATTTAGAAATTCCAGACAAATTGAATTCGCTCTTTACCTAAAATTTCGTAGTGATTTGATAACAGGTAACATACAAGAATTTCTATCATACAAACTGAAGTGTACGAGATGTAGTAGCATAATATTAAACTACGTATATATATATATATATAGATCAAGACTACTATTATCTACACGAATGAGTTTCTATAACAAAGGTAACATTAATTTTGAATACTCGATTAATAACATGAAACAAGGTGAACTGGTAGGAAATTATTGTGTTAAATTCTAAGAACATCACTTGAGCTATTAATTTTGTGATGGTTTCTTCACACGTCTTTTAGTAGTTTATTTTTATTGAAATGTTCATACAGTTTAATTTTCAAATTTTATCAACATGAGAAGATTATTCCATTATTATTATAATTAATTATTAATTTTGAAGATACTTGTTCACTAAATATTCATTTCAACAATTTCACTTTGATACAATAATCAGCGTTCAGTACAAAAGTATTCAATGACAATGAATAGATAATTAAATATATTTTACTCCAATTGAAAAATTAATCATGGATCATCAACGAACAGAGTTTATTAATAAACTTAATGGAATACTGTAAATAATGTCTGTTAATTGGAAAAAATAAAAACTTGGTGTTTTGTTATTGTTATATTTCACTTGGACTTGCTTAAGAAAATATGAAATATGATACAGTAAAAGCTGACCTTCCATATTATTTGTAATAATCACCAAATTTTTTTGTAGTTGGAAGAGAATTTTCATAATGAATTGTCATATTTTTTACTTGGAGTGTGTTGTGAAATGAGGAGATGACAGTTTACTTCCGACTGTGTGGTCTGGATTGCCATTAGGCGCGGAGCATTATTCACTAGCGGTACAAAGCAATTCTAAACGCGATGCAGATTCCACTATCCAGGATATGGTATTTGTACAGACAATACGTAATTACAGGGAACGTTGATCGATACTTCAACGTCGGAACGATCAGCCAACAATGACTGCCAACTGATGAGAATCGCTTTTGTCCAACCGGCGATTTCAAGGCTTATAATAGTTCTATTTAGAGTGTCATCGATCAAATTGATACATGCATTTATAATCGATTTAAAATTATGATTCATTGATACATATCACAACAAAATGAAGGCTGTAAATCTATATCGACTTTTTGAATTAGAGAATTAAATGTAACAATCACATAATCCATTTAGACGTTTATATTTGTAATGTAAAACTTATAGAAAAAATTACTTTCAAAAAGACCCTCGATGATCTGTAATACAAGGAACTGTGTTTATACGTTTAAAGTGACGCCTATGTCATTATTTTCTACAGGACTCTGTTTGCTTGAATAAGGATTCAAAAAAAGCGGGTGAGAGGCTGAATGTTAATCCTTAGTGACAGTGTCAAGCCGGTGACACAATGATTTGTACGGACGTCTGATACACCCCTCGATGATTCGCTTGCATTTGAAAGACACAAAAAATTAGCATAAGCACAGAAAACATATCTGCCATGTGTGTATACATGGACATGATGTAAATCAGTATTCACTCCCTGGGACCAAGTGTACTTTAACCTGGTATAAAATTTAGTACCAATCAACAATCGATTCAAGTTTCAGATAATAAAAAAACTGATATGTAGAATGATGGAATGGGATTTGAGAATAAAATATATTGATACACTTCCTATGTATACTGTCTACCACTTCACTCTTAATAAATTATTTTATGAGGCTGAACTCAATGCACTCATCTGAGGAATAATACCTACTATACGTACAAACGATTTCAATTGAATCGATCACCTTTCACTAATAGAAAGGGTATACTATACATAAAGAGTATCTTAAGTGCATTGTGTATACATGCATCATTTTTCACGAATAATGTATTATATAATCAGTCTAAAATCGACTGATTATCTAAAAGACTTAATATGCTTGGTGTGTATACTCTGTAAAAAAATCAGTGAAAATCAACTCAACAAATAATGTTTTTTTTTATGTATTAAAAAATCAATAAAAACAACCACTAGAAAATATCAGTTAATTATTAATCATGAAAAAAGAAAATTAATTTATATTCGTGACAAATTATGCAATAATCATGTTATTTTTGCACAATAATTGTTTAATGAATATTCATGAACATACCTGATTTTTTCACGTTCAGTCAACCCAAACGCTACTTTTATCTTCTTATTAAACCAATAAAATTCACCTCTAACAATGAACGAAATAACTAATAAAAATTTGTACCAGCATATAAGATGAAAATACAAATAAACATTTTACTGTTTTGAATTAAAGAAGCTATAATCTATCACTAAAGTAAATAAAATATAGATTTAACTAGTATTAAAAACTTTACAAATTCATAATAAAATAATCACAGATGATTATTTAAATTTTGCTAATTAAATTGTTTAGATTTACTATTTTATAAGCTGATGATTTTAAAATAGTTCAAATAATTATCATTAATCAAGGCTACAAATTATCTTGATTAAATCAGATTTCGAGTAAAAGACATTACATGGAAATCGATTCATCAATTTAGGAACTACGATGTAATAGATATAATAGACAAAGGCTTCAAATTTATAATACATCTCTTTTAGCGTTGAGGGAGAAAACCACTGTTTTATCAGCCATTGTTTAACGTATTAGAAGAGTCATTCATTTTAAAAGAGTAAAGTTTTTTTCCTACAGCAGCTGCTAAGTTATTTTAAAATAGTAACAATTTTTTTTCATAGTCATAACAAAAGTTAAGACCGTTGCAGAAACAGAGTTACAATGCTTCGCAGCAACCGGAAATTTTTCTTTGTATGGCAACATATCCAAATGCTGGGCAAAAGGCTCTCTAATCCTCACCAGACCTGCGTAGACACGCGCCAACGCCATAAATGCTTAATACGATCGTAATTCCGATTTAATGCCAATTTATCGTCTGGTCGTACGCGCCCTCGGGTCCTGTGGTATCCACGTGGCTTCCCGCGATTTTCTCTTCCTTTTTATGCTTCTACCTTGTCAATTGTCGATCAGTAATAGTTTCTATCAAACCTCGGTCACGTTCAACACAAATGATTACGTTTTTAATTCATTCAAGTTACCAGTCTTTTTAAGTTTCGTTCGTGATGACATTGCTCAACGTCAGATCAAGAATATGCTCAAAAGATTTATGTGTCTCTCATGCGTAATGAGATCTACATCTCTAGCACTGGTCTAGAAAAACTTTACTGCGGTCAGCACCAGTTCTTGCGTGACAAGACGTGTTCATTTCTTGCGAACACTTTGTAAAGGTAAGTTATATGTATGTTATTACACTTTTTTCATCCATCTATAATTTTGGTACATAATTTTAGTCTATTTTTACTCCAATCCGCATAAGAAACAACATCAAGAGAAATTTTTCTTTACTTAATCATATGGGTGATTTTTCATGAATCATATTTATCATATGATGAGGAATTTTTTGAAACAATATTAGATCATAAATATATTTACATTTATACAACTCGATTAATTTATAATAATCCTTATAATTAAAATAAACTGAATGAATGTTATGCAAGAGCTAATAATGTATGATCAATCTGTGTAACTCCATTTTCCATCAATGATCTAGATAATCTCTTTTTAAAAATTTTCTCAGTTCCTTTATTTTCATCGAGCTCTCGATGTAAATACTCCTATAATAGTAATACAATAACAATAATATACCTAATAATAATAGTTATCATCATCATTCGAAATAATTCAAGAAATGGAGCGTAGGTGAGCAACTTATATGCATAATAAAATTGATTGTATAATGATAATTATTTCTACATTGAGGTGAATAAATATTCGATTTGAATTAATTTTACTGATATAATAAAAAAATTCACAAATTAAATTTACCGTTTTACATTAGATTTATTTTTTTTGCATGAGAGTGTTCATAATGCATTCCATTCGTCATCAAATTCTCTCTCCGTTTCTTGGTAAACTTCTTTCAATAAATGGTAATATAAGGATTTCAAGCATTTGTCAAAATTATTCATTTTTTAATTCAAAAATTTATCAGGTTAACGTCGATAAGTTATTCAAACAGATTCATTGCGATTCAAATTTTGTTTTCAGTCACAATACTCTGATTTCCTTTTAATACACGTATGAATCTTTCGCCTTTATGTATTAACTGCGATATTCATTAAGATTTCATTGACATATCGTTACAAAATAATAAAAAACAATATTTATGGAGGTAAAGTTGATCAACCTAAAACTAATTTTATAGAACTATTGAACGAATAAATTTATTACAGCCCGAGTCAGAATTTTACTATTATTTTGCCGCTGAACCCCCTGAAAATCTATATTTTTCCTGCTGATGCTCCTGACTTTCAGGAGGCTCAGCGGCAAAATAAGAGTAAAATTCTGACTCGGGAATGAATTAGATATTAGAGTCATCAAATAAAATAAACATGAAAAAAAATCATTACAGACACCATTTCATGTGGAACTTAAAAAAATCGTAAGCTTCTTGGCTCCTATAGTAAGATTTTAATTATGGTATTAATTGATATGGATATTACCTTAAAAAGAAGAAACATGTATGTACGAATCTATAGATTCGGTGAAAATGAGTATGAAACAATCATAAAAATGTGAATGAAGAAAGATAATAGATAGTTTTTTTTTGTTTTTAATATCATTATGTTATCGTTATCATTTATCGTTGTAAAATATGTCTCATTAATTATATTGAAAAAAATTTGCCGCAACATGATTTATGGTAAAGTAAATTGATTAAAGTTATTATAATAAAAAAAATGTATTACAATTTTATTTTATATCTGATAGGTACTATTAAAGAACTTTATAAAAGTTTTAGAAAAATATTGGGAAATAAATCAAATTATTAGAGCTGTTATTTTTATAGAGTTGTAACATTTTAGTTTTGAATGTCAAGACAAATGTATTTTTACAAATATAATAAACTGAATACCGGCATTAATATAACTTTATAATAGATAATAAATTTTCTTATTGGTAAAATATTGAAACATCGATACACGTTTATCTATATTTGTCAATTGATTTATCAAGTTGAATGGCAGATACAACGAATGATAGAAACTTTTTGAAAAGCGGACATTTTTCGGTAAACGTGTATTCAAATAACATCTTGGATATTTTATTTTTAGAGTTTTTTAAATTCCTATTAATTTTTTTTTAAACTTTTTACGGAAAAAATTTTCTTAATATTTAATTACATGAACAATTATGTTGATTGTAATATCATTCAGTTTGAATAATTTATGTATATTTCAAAACATCAAAAATCATACCATCAATTAATTTTTCCTCTTGTAAGCGTTCTTGCTAACAGACATTAAACAAGAATGTTTACATTTGAGTTATATGTATAATGAGAAACTTGTAGAAATACAAGATAAAGATAGGCTTCTTTGTTTTAATAACGTAAAACTTTACATTAAATTGAAGTTGCGGTTTTATAGCATGCTTTCTCTTTTGAATTAATGTGACAACTTCAAAATAGCGCCTTGATAATCAATATGACAGAAAGAAAATATCCTTGAATTTCCTATACTGAGAGAAAGTTTGTATTTCTAACGTGGCAAATATGATTTTATACTTGAAACAATAAACTTTTCTCTTTCTGTATGTGAAATTTTCACGAGACTATAGTTTTTTTTTTTATTTCAGAACATATTTTTAATACTATCTTTCTAGTGAGCATAATTTTGCTTGTTCTTAAAATAAACTTACATATTTAAGCAAATTGTGATAACCATATCGTATATACAATAAAGGATGCACAATTTACTTTAAAGATCCTTAAAATAGTAAATGGTATTGTATTTCGTCAATAGGTTAATAGCTTGAATATTTTACCGATATATCATTGGCCCGGATCATAGTCAAAAATCAATTAGTTTTTTTCTATAAGAAATAATTAAAGAATTCATATGAGCCTCGAAAGCCTTTTTATGAATTATAGAATAATAAATAGAAAAAATAAGTATAAAGACTTTAAAAAAAAAATTACTATGTGCTTAGTTGTCTAAATTTATTTGTAATACAAGAAGAGAATTTTTTCACTAAATGTAAGTGCAAAAATGACCAGCCTACGTTTCGAAATTTAGAAGTAAAAATATTTCTATGTGATAGAAAATTTTGAGTACTTGTGAGGAAACTTAAGTCTTAAAAGGTGTCCTAGTAAAAGAATTACTTAGGATAACCCAAAAATTACTTACGACAACCCCTAATTCATTGTTGAACAGAAATATTAGTACTTCCCGAGTAAAAATAAATAGGCCCAAAAGAAGCCCAAAACACGCCCAAAATGAAAAATAAGCCCAATACAGGCCCGATTGAAGCCCAATCTTGACTTAGAGAAATTTTCAGTGCCCAAAACAAGCCCATTACAGGCCTAAATTTTGAAAGAGCTCAATTGAAGCCCAAAAATATTTTCTAGGCCTAAAACGCGCCCAATTCAAGCCCATTTTCTGAGATCATATTCGACAATGATGACAATAAATTATTACAAATGTAAATTTGTAGCACCGAAAGTTAATTTGATAATAAGTTTTTATGAGAATTTTTTTTTTCTTTTCTAGATTTTTAAAATATTTTTGGGCTTGAATTGGGTCTCCTTTAGGTGCACCCAAAAACTGCACTGAAACGTGCACTTGTCATTTTTGCACTTACACCTAGTAAAAAATTTCTCTCCGTGTACGCTAAACATACCAAAAATAGACAGTTAGCGTTAAAAGATAGAAAAAAAAGAAGTTATGAGACATAAAAAATCAATTAAAAAATTTATTATCCATTCTTGAGATATCAGAAACGGTAAGAAACCTTAATATTCGTACAGACATACTACGTACATACATCTTCATCGAAACCAGTCAGTATGCTCTTACGTACTCCAAAAAAAAGTTGGTGTTTTTTCGTTCAATCTGGCCTTAACTTGATGATTAAAAAATATTTTTAAGTAAAAAAATTGTTATTATCTGCTAGTTTTAACAATTTGTTCATCTTCTAATTAGTATTCATCTATTAGTGCGTTTATTCAAGACAATTTTTATGTTTCTACTCTAAGAAAAAAATTAACTTCATATAAAAAATATTTCATTTGATCATTAACATCGAAACTTCAATGAAACGAATAAAGTGTCACTTGTTTTCAACTTGTCGTAACATTGAAGAATTGCATTCGAACTTATTGTAACATTAAAACAAATGACAAAATGTATTTTTGATGACAATATTATTGGATCGAATAAAATATTATCTTGAGAATGCTCCAAAATCCTCTTATTTGTTGAATAAAAAATTCTTTAATTTAACGAAATTTTTTTCTCAGTGTATGCAGTAGAGGTCAAGGTTTGTCGCATAGCTTAGATCTAATAAAGCATTTTGTCAAGTGTATTGGAATTCGTCAATTTTTTTTGAATGACTAAGAAACGAAAATATTAAATATAACATGATTGATCAATTTCGAGGAACTCCTGTCATGGACTATATGATTAAATAACTAATATATTTAGAGTCTAGAAAAGCAAAAAAAAAACGGCAGAAAAAAATATCTTGATAGTAAGAAAGCACTGTAAGACATTGATAAGTTATTTTTGATATTTTGTATAATCTTTTTATAAGTGATATTTCATTTTTGTAAATTCATTTATCAAACAAATAGAAATTCTACAATAATTGCTCGATTTAAGAAAAATTACGAGTTTTAAGTGTAGTGAGTACATTTAATCTGAGTCTCTATTGACAAAATCTGATAAAGTAGAATTATCACGTACTTTTGTGTGCCTATTAGTTGAATCACCCTTAAGTATAATATCAGTAGCGACGAAATACCGTAATGATTCATAATTGAACAAATAAAACTTAAATGTGCTTAAAATATTTAACGATTAAAATAACATGAAGGTGAGTATAAACGTTGAAAAAATTATTTAAAGGTCATTGAAAGCACCGGATGGTTCACCATTCAAATGGTATTTTATCAATCTCCTCTCAAGAACACTCGTGAATCTAAGAGACGGAAGTCCGAAACGGAAATCCGAATGGCCGGAAGCTGACGTGAAAAAGTATAAATAAAGAAAAGATTAAGGAGGTGAAATAAGGATAAAGAAACATCTACAAATTGATATGTGTGCTCACGGTAAAAACAAGACGTGTGGTGACATCCCACTTGAATTTCCATGATAAAGAAGGACTTCGGTGTCATCAACACTGTGTGAGTGAATAGGTTATGGAGTTCGATTTGCGTAGCTACAGTAGCTCTTTATTTCTATGGACTTCAGATCCCCATCAATGTCCACCATGGGGGTTGATCACAGCGGTGGGGTACAATTGTCGCGCGCCGCGCAGTCTCGAGCCCCTTTATGGTTCCAGCAATACCGCGCCAAGCGCCAGAGACCAGTTGAGCGCGAGCTGTTGAGCAGAACGAATGTATGTCATTCTCGTGCGTTGAATGAGTCAAAGTTATCGTTTCGAATACGTGAATAGACTCATTCTTTCGTAGCCTACACCTGGAATTAATTTCTATTATTATTGTGTGTTTTTTTAAAAAAAAGTACTAAATAGTGTGTCGTATATTGACTTGATAAAGACTCATCTATTGTTTGTTTTATTTTGTTTTACTCTGGAAAGTTTTCACGTGTTGGAAGTTAATAAGTGATTTATTGTTTAGTTTTATTAGACGTGCGTTTGAATTTTTTAGTTACTGTGAACTTTCTATACTCCTGGGCCGGAAATCAAATACTTTGGAATTTGCTGTCAACTTAGTAAGTTGACTGTAAAAAAAACTTTCTCTCTCTCAGATAGTTTTTTTTTTTAATCTCTTTATTTACAAGTTAATTGAAATAAATGCTGTCAATCAAACAAAACTGCCATGAATTTTCTAGTCACAAAAACTAGTTTAAATAAAAAATAATCACAAAAGGCACGTGCCTTCCGCTAAAAATTTACATGAACTGTTTGAGATGTAACATTAGAGTTGACCGATGAAGTACAAGACTCTTAACGGATCATCGTGAGTATATAGAGAAACATAGTGAACAAGAAAGAAGGAAAACGTTCAACGAACCCGCGGGCAGGAGAGCGGCGAGACGAAGGGGTCGGTCCTGGGACATCGGTAAAATGAACGAAGGCAAAGCGAAATAAACGATTAAAAAACCCTCTTGCTTCAAGAGAGAAACCTGCTCAGTTATTTCTCTTTTGCTTCTCGTCCACTATCGTTGTTGCGATACTTTGGAGCACGTAGTATGTCCATGAATGAGAGAAGAAAGGGAAAAAAGTCTTACGCGACTGAATCGAGAAACGGTGAACTAAGAATACAATGGTGAGGTTCTGCGTATACATGCCTTTGAATATTTTGAACGCTTTTATAATAGTTTTCATAGCCGGCAGGAACAGTCTAGTAAAATCACTAGTTTGCAGGCAGTTTTCTCGAATAAGATTAATATTTCAAAAAATTTCTCTTCTTCGTTTTCGCGATAAAAAAAAACAAACCATTTTATTCATATGGGAATTTAACTATCGTAACGAGTCATGATTTCCGATCGTCCTCGTTGGTGGAATGAGCCTTGAGCAATTCTCTCGTTTAACTGCCATCGATTATCATGTACCTACTTATAATATTAAGATCAGATACAGAATAGCCATTGAGGATGATCATACTCAAGACTCTGATATGAGGATATTTTGATAGACGAGTGTTCGCACTACAAGTATTATTAAACTCGTGTCAAAATGGAAAATTGGTGATTATCCTGCGTAACGATATGAACGTAGTAAGAGAGAAAGCAGCTTCATTGTCACAAAATCTCGGATGATGGAACGAAATCCATTCGTCTCGCGCACAAGCTAACCAAGTGTTTTAAAGACTTTGCTCATAATAATGTTTCTCTTTCTTTATTTCTCTCTTCTTTTTTTATATTTTGTTTCTCTTTAACGTTTCGAGGTCCCGCCGTCGGACGAAAATTACTTGTAACAAGATTTATTTCATTTAAATGAGGATGTACGCTAGGCGCTATACTTTATCTATGAAGTTTCTTCAAGCCACATATTGTGGGAAAAGATTACCATGTGGAATAAATTTTTGACACTACCACTAAACTCCTTCAATTATTTCACTTGATGAATTGCTCAACTTTTTAAATAGCAATTCATTTATTATTACTTTTATAACAACTCATTTATCATTATCTACAGTAATCATTGTTTTTCTTTTTTTCGCTATCTACTTTGTTTATTATCCTGTTCATTTAATAGTATTTTGTTTCGGAAACGCATCACACAGATAAACCGTTGATTTTTTAAACGTTGACTAGCATCGCTCGATTAAACTCAGGAACTTTGAACGGGCGAAGCGCTATATTGACATGTATTACAGCCGCGTGCGGTTACTCTCAGAGAGGTGACACGTGTCACTGACACGCTATGGCATTTACGTGCTAAACTCATCATTCTCTTTTCGGTCAATCTAGCGTTGTTTTTTTACTTTATCCATTATATATTTAATATTGTATTCGTATTATTTGACGAAAAGCTGATTACTTTCAGCAAAATGAATGAGTTCGTTACAATAAAAACATAATTAATTTTATAGAAAGTTTTTCTTTGAGAAAGAAGACTACTCAATATCATGATTATTAATTATTTTATCTATAGATTTTATTAATGTGAATTAGAACAAATATAAAATAAAGAAGAATATAAATGACATTAAGTATAAAGTAACTGTTATTATAAAATACAAATAATAGTATTTTGTAATTTTACTTTAATTTTATGAGAAGAAACATTTCATCTAAATGGATAGCACTAGCAATTGAAGATGAAGATGAAATTCTTGTGATAATAAATAATTTTATTATGTAATTTTATTGTCTGAATAAGTAGGATAATTTTGTCGGTTTGCGTATAAATACATGAAAAATTATAATCATTCAAAATATCACTGTACTGTGATTTGTATAGGAATTCAACACTTTATGTGGATACATTAGTTGTAATGATAAAGCTGTTTTATTTGAACTGAAATAGAAACGTAAATGAGTATAAAAAAAGCTACACTCATTATTTTGAGCAGACATCTAATTATTTTGACTTCACTGTAATGATAGAATAGTCAAACAAAAAAATGAAAGTCATTCAAGTCTTTTATTTTAATTTATTCTTTGTAGCTTCAGTCCATTACTCCAAATCGATTTGCAATGAGTAGACATGTGTATAGTATATTTTTTTCTTATTTTCTTCATCAACTTCCTTTCTTCAACTCGTTCAAACGTTATACCGGAATTTCAGCTCTAATTTATTTCCTTTTCCCCTCTTTTCTTATCTTGTACTATAACGAAAAAATACCAAAAGGGAAACTCGAGATTGAATTATTCATGGGGAGCTTGACGGATGTCGCAAGGTTAGGACTTCGTCAGGGGAATGTTACTAGTAGTATTTACTGCTATTCCTACACCGTAAATTCTCATTTATGAAACTGTTTAACACCTGAAACTTTAACCTAACGACACTCCCAAAGGACACATGATAACTCCATTTATGAATTTATTTTATAATATGAATTTTACCCCTCTCATATATCATTAGCACTAATATCAAAAATTTTATTGATTACAATTTCTCTTCATCAGTAGAGTCATAGACTAAATTTTAAAACATCTAAATCACAAATGATACAGAAAATTTCTAAATTTATGAGAAAAACTTTAATTTTTTTTCTTTTAACGTAAAATAAAATTTATGTCTCTATTTTATTTCAGTAGGTTGAATTTTGTAAAAAACAAAAACAACTTGAACTGTTTTAAAAAAAAGCAACAAAACAGAAAGAGAAAAAGTTTATCCAATAAGAAAAAAAGCTTATAGTCGGAAAATTTACTGTAACATAATTGGTAACATATTTTTTTCACCAAACAAAAAATAGCTTCAATTGTAAATCTAATTTGGTTTTTAGATATATATATATATATATATATATCTATAAAATTTTTTTCTTTAGTAAAACTAAAAATACGTATTTTAATCCATATCATTTATCTGCATAAAAGTAATGATAATTTTACATTATCTTATACATGGGAAAGAATTCTTATATTAAAAAAAATATTATTTATTCATGTGTATAAAATAGATTCTGTTTCTTGTCACTGCAAGTAGATTCAACACGCGACTATCTAATTACTTTGCAAAATAATAGTTCCTTTTTTCTGTATTTCCTGCTTGATCTGAATAATTTACAAACTCTTCTACAGACGTTTTCAACAAGAGAATCGTCGACGACTACCCTATATCGATTGTCGTTCTAGAGGGGTGTATGTTCGTGCATGCGAGATAGGACGTCCGATTTCACCTGTCCATTTTTTCAGTCTTGTCTACGCATATACATTATACAGTCTTTTTCTGTACTTAATTTCATACGTCCAATGAGAACTTGGAATATTATAAGCTCCATATACAATGCAAGTAGTTTCTCCACTCCCATAAGGAGACGTAACAGAGAAAAATAGTGGTACACCTCAAGGGGTGCATTTCTACATTGTGAGGGGTGAAAATGTTACTTGTCGCGAAGGTAGGGTAATTGTTTAGCCCCTCAAGCTTCCTTTCACTCTTTTCCCATCATTTCCTTTTCTGATCCTCTCTTTCAATTATCTCCATCCTGCTCTCGTGCGGCTCTTTCAACCCCTAAAATATTGGCCAAAAAGAAATATAAAAAAAATGTGAAGACGAAAGTCAAGTTGTTTCGTGATGCAGTAATTATATTGTAAATCACCGTGTAATAAAAAGCCTTGATGAAATTATAAAAAGTGTACGGAAGTGTCACGGTTACTTCCGTTTTTCCGTGAATAATTTTATAAAGCCCAATTATTTTAACTTACTCATCAGTTTTTCAGACATTTTAATTTTTTCATTTTTCGTTAAATTAAAGATTATTATCCCAAAAACTCAAAATAAATCAAACTTTATAATAAACTAAATTAAATTATAAAAATTAAATAACTATTTAAACATAGGAAGTCATTTTCTGATTTATTCAAACGATAACTTACTAGATTATCGTTCCTATTTAATAATCAATACTGAAGTAATTATCTGAAAAATTTAAAATACCTTTTTTAAAAATAATCGATGATCATTTAATGATAAAAATAGTACCAAGTTTAACACTATTAATCAGTAAAATTATATTAAACTTGTGAATTGGCTGGAATATATTTAAATAAGGAAGTTGCACAGTAAACCACCTATACTGTAATATATTTTAGGAAAATGAATATAAATTGTTGATTTTTCAATGAATTAAAACTGTGATGGAGAAATTATGAGAAATTTTACTAATTTATTTTAAGAGAAAAAATATATATTCTAATTTAATATGATTGATAAAAACATTTTTATTAAAAAAGTACTGAAAAATAGATGAAATATTGACTACTATAATTGAAAAGTTTTCATCTCAGAACAGTAGGTTTTAGGTAACAATAAAAAGCTTTTTAATCTTTAACTCTGTATTATTAAATCTTTGTGAATTTAAATAATATATTTAAAATACGATAAATCAGAACATGGATAATGCGCCTATTTCATATGAAATATTATTAAATATATTCGGAGCAACTCTGCGGATTCACTTGTTCACGTATGCCCCAGCTATATAAGTCAAGAGAAGCCGAAGTAACCGACTGTTTGGCCTGAATTTTCGGGCAGACATGTCGGATTCATGAAACCATAAAAATCCTGAGTCTTGGAGTTTATCATAATTCACCTAAAG